GCAGGGTTGTGTATTATTTCTGATATTTGACACTATTTTCATTCTATTGCTCACTAATATAGAGACCAGTGACACATTATATTCCTTTTACAAGTTATCTGATGTATACTATAATGTTTATTCTTTACTGCTAATTTTTGTGATCTATTTATTTGTATTTATTTTCTTTTACCTATTTTTATATTTGTTGGCTATTATTAATGGAACTGGTGTTGAATTCGCCGCTGACTGAATTAGTTGCATGCTCTCTCGCTCTGCTAACGAGCCTGAGTGGAAAAAGAGAGAGACGTTTTCGGCATATTATTGTGCTCTCTGTGTTTTTGCAACTTGAGACCTCCAATGTCGCTGTCATCTTATTGGAAAAACACACACAACCAGAGTAAAACTGCTACATTATGTTTTGTTTTGTATTTTGTTGAGAGAATTTCATCAGATTTCTTACTTATTTCAAATCCCTGGACAGTTTCTTACACTTTATTATTCCCTTTAATAAATGTTTTTTTCATTACATACCTTTTTATGGTACGGTCGGGAGCGAGCTGGCCGTAACACACGCCTGATCTCACGAGGAAACGTAAATATTTTACGTTTTGCTAGTGTAGTGGCTAATTCGTACAGTCGTACGAAAATGTACGATTTTAAAAAGGAGGCGTGGCACCTAACCCCACCCCTAACCAGTGGCGTAGCGCAAAATGCGGAGGCCCCCTGCAGGGATCACTGACTGGGCCCCTGATGATGGGGGGAGGTGTCACAAATTGAGGAGCGGGGAAGGGAGGCAGGGTTGAACGACAACGCGGGGAAGCCTTCACAAACTGAGGAGTGATCACAAACTAAAGGCTGATTTATACTTCTGCGTCAAACACCGGCGTATGCTACGGCGCTGACGCATAACCCTTCGCCGTGGCCGTCGCGGTCGCTGATGTGCACCTCTCAAAAAATGTAACTACACGTCGCAACAACGCGTAGCGCAAGCTCTGTGATTGGTCGGCTTGGTAGCGCTGACAAGTCTGGGCGGGACCGAGAGCTGCGCGAATGGCGCGAACCCAATGTAGCGATTGTTTACAAGTGTGGAGTCCCGTGAAGGAGCTCCGGATGGAAAGACAAAAAATTATTGAAAATCGCGATGACGCGGGGCCCCCTAATCACCCCTCCCCGCGGTGCGTCTTCTGTGGGCCCGTCCGCTATGCCACTGCCCCTAACCCCAACCGTCAAATCGTACTAAATTGTACGAATTAAATCGTACGAATTCATACGAATTAGCCACTAAATCAAAAAGTTACGAATTGCCGCGAGATTGCGTTGGATAAACTTCCGGTGACCTGTTTTTTCCATTTTATACAGTTCTGTCACAGCATCGATGTTGTAATTTCATTAAAATACATTCGGTTAAATAAACTTTGGCATTCATTTAGTTGGTCAAGCGTAAAATCAGAATCGGCAGGCTAGCGCAGAAGCTCCATTGAAAATACTGGGGTAAAGTAAATGCTCAAGACATGACTGAGGGAATTGTAATTTAATGCAGTGCTTCTAGTACAATCTGACACCCACTATCGGATATCACTTTAGAGTCCTCCTGTACAGTTGAAGTCAGAATTATTCGCCCCCTTTGAATTTTATTTATTTTTTTATATTGCCCAAATGATGTCGAACAGATTCAGGAAATGTTCACAGTATGTCTGATAATATTTTTTCTTGTGGAGAAAGTCTTATTTGTTTTATTTCGGCTAGAATGAAAGCAGTTTTTAATTTTTTAAACAACATTTTAAGGTCAAAATTATTAGCCCCTTTAAGCCAGTGGTTCCCAACCTTTTTCTTTGGGGGCCCCCCCCATGAACATATACAAACTTTGGAGCCCCCCCACCATATAAATACACACGCACGCACACACATTCTACTGTCTATATATATATGTATAGAAAATATAAATTAATCACTTTTAACTTGTCTTGGCCTTCAATAAAACTAATCTTTGTCTAATCTTTTTCTTCGCCTCTGAAGAACCACTGCATTTACGTTTCTCTGCCATTTTTGTTTTGATTTTGCCTTTACGACGCGTTGGACAAGCCCATTGCGTGAGCAAAATTTAAATAATTATTTAAAGTTATTTATTTTAATTATTTTTACTATTATGTTGGAATTTTAAGCATGTTTTGATTTTGATTTTTTTTAGTACTTGAAAATACATATATAATAGTAGGGCTGCTTGATTTTGGGAAAATCATAATAACGATTATTTTGGTCATAATTGTAATCACGATTATTCAAAACCATTATCAGTTAAAGTCAAAATTATTAGCACTCCTGAGAATTTTTTTTTAGAAATATTTCCCAAAATGATGTTTAACAGAGCAAGGAATTTTAACAGTATTTCCTATAATATTTTTCTTCTAGGCTTATTTATTTTATTTTAGCTAGAATAAAAGCAGGTTTAAATATTTTGAAACCAATTTAACTTCAATATTATTAGCCCCCTTAAGCAATAAATATTTTGATTGTCTGCAGAAGAAACTACTGTTATACAATGACTTGCCTAATTACCCTAATTAAGCCTTTGAACTGCACTTTAATCTGAATGTTTGTATTTTGAAAAATATCTAGTCAAATATTATGTGCTGTCATCATAGCAAAGATAAAAGAAATCAGTAATTAGAAACGAAATATCAAAACTAATATGTTCAGAAATAAGTAAAAAAAAATCTTCTTTCCATGAAACAGAAATTGGGCTGGAAAAGGGTTGCTAATATTCAGGAGGGCTAATAATTCTGACTTCAAGTGTATACATACAGTTATTTTCCACCCTGCAAAGAAAAGAGAAATAAATACAATAGAACAAAAATATTAAACAAACTGTGCTTTAAGCATCTCCACTGTAAGAAAAACACTTTAGCTACAGCAGTCCTTCAGTCAAGACTAGTGAGGGATTTTGTCATTGTTTGATTAATGATAAAAACAGGCGGCAGCAGGAATATTTCTCGCTGTCTCTTTAATGGTTTCTCTTTCACGTCTTTTGATCCTCAACTCGTTTGTTTATTACACAAATGAGGGTTAATATAAATAGTCACTAAACACCGCGTTTTGACACCTATTTGACCATTAATGCGCTCACGTTAAGATGACTTTAGATGTCTGCGCTCCTCTGCTCGTCTCAGTGTGTGAATGAGACCGAATGCTGACCGGCCGCATGCTTCTGACTGCGTGTGCTTGCTGCACACACAAATAAGCACGCGGTCTTTCGCGCTTTTAGAAGCAACAAACATGAACAACTGGAAAGGTGGCGGTATATGATGCAATAAACTTTATCTCGATTAATGCTTTTTTTTATAATCGTTTGAAATCGAAACCGGATTTTCGATTAATTGTACAGCCCTATAAAATAGTGGAGCATTTTTATGCCTTTTTCTACCTCAACACTTATCCTCTCCCGCGCCCCCCTTGTGAACTCTGGTGCCAGGTTGGGATCCTCTGCTTTAAGCTATCTTTGTTTTCAATAGTCCACAGAACAAACCATCATTATACAATAACTTGCCTAATTACCCTAACCTGCCTAGTTACCCTAGTTAAGCCTTTAAATGTCACTTTAAGCTGTATAGAAGTGTCTTGAAGAATATCTAGTCTAATATTATTTACTGTCATCATGACAAAGAGGAAATAAATCAGTTATTAGAGATGAGTTATTAAAACTATTATGATTAGAAATGTGTTGAAGAAATCTGCTCTCTGTTAAACAGAAATTTGGGAAAAAAATAAACTGGGGGGCTCATAATTCTGACTTCGACTGTATAATCTCACACAGCATTGCTGAGGCAGGGTCAACTCTGTATATTTGCATTTCAAAACCGGCATAATACATGTTTTTAGCTTGTATTGCAGAGCCCATGAGAAGCAGGCAATCATTAGATGGGCCAGAGGTCGATAATGAACTAGTACGGTACAAAAAATAGAATTTTTTTGGGCTATAATAGCTTTCAGTAATCAGCCTATATATACAAGCACATGATGACTGTGTGCATTAACTTGTGCGAGCATGTGTGTGTGTTTATCAGTTCGTTTATTACATTGGGAACATTATGAAATAGAGGTGTTGCGAGAGGTTATTTAAATCTGCATTAATGCATTCGACGTGAATATACACTTACCGGCCACTTTATTAGGTACACCTGCCCAACTTTCTAATCGGTGGCCTCCACAGTCACCAGATCTCAATCCAATAGAGCACCTTTGGGATGTGGTGGAGGAGCCGCATGATGGATGTGCAGCCGACAAATCTGCAGCAACTGCGTGACGCCATCATGTCAACATGGAGCAAAATCTCTGAGGAACATTTCCAGTGGCATGTTGAATCTAAGGCAGTTCCGAAGGCAAACGCGGGTCCAACCCGATGCTAGTGAGGTGTACCTAATGAAGTACATTAATATATGTATCATATTCTTGTAATTTAGTGTCGTCTTCAGTGAATAACTCTTATGTGTTTCAGAAATTATTCTGTTATGATTATTTATTTCACTAATATGATCAGTTATTACTTGTGTTTAATCAGTATTGTGATTATTTCATTTAAATTTTTCATTTTAATAAATTTTTTTTGTCATTTTTTTATAAAACACTAATTTATTAGCGTTCATCAAATTATTCCAAGAGCTAATTGTCATTCTACTGAATAATAAACATGCATAGAGATTCATTTAATGCCATATTGCTTTGAAATTTCGAGACATTAAGTAGAGGACTGTTTTTCAAAATCTCTTTTCTTTTATTGTAAAAAAAAAAACAAAACAAAACAAGATGTGTGTTCTGCAGTATTCTATGTACTTCGTATAATACATTTTTATTCATATGCCATGATGATAATGTGCTGCAACACACTACGTGAGCCTTATTTTCATGCAGGGTTTACAGTACCGCTAAATGAAAATGCTGCAAACAACTGTTTACACCAAAAGGCACTGGTTTCCATTTACACAGGGGGGAAATGATACAAATAACACTGAAAACGCAACAGATTTTTAGAAGTATCATACATGTTCTGTTTATTCTTCTGCGTTTCGCTCTGTGAACTACAGATAAACAGGCGACTGCAGCAGGTCCCTCTTTCCGTAAGTGTTGGATCCTACGTTGGTCGGTGCGTAGACTGTGCCGATGGTGTTGCTGGACCTGATGAGAAAGTCTGCTAATCTCTGAGTCACGCAGGTGGCTGTGTTGCACTTCCTCTTTTCCACGTGATGACTGTGGGGTAGTTCAGAAGAGCGTTAGTCATGATCCGGTCAAGTCACATTTATTCACATCACATTTTCGGTAATGCGTCTAATTAGACTAACACACTGGAAAAGTTTTATCAGAGTTCTGTCTAAAGAACACAGATTTTTAAATACGCTACTCTGGGTATGCTTTGTTTACATTTCTGAGGACAGATCCAGACGTTTTGTCAATAGTGTATGCTTTGTTTTTGTTTCAGATACACACCCTTTTACACGTCTTCTATGTTAAAGTGGCACAGATCATCAAGTGAACCACTGAGCTAAAACCTTTAAAAGCAAAGGTGCACTGCGACTATGTAAATTTACCTTTATTTTGCATTGCTTTTATCTCTTTTGTGGAACTCTGCTTCACCAGACTCAAGTACATCTCTGTACAAGGTAAGCTACCGAGCACACTGAGCGCAACAGGAATCAGACACTGTTAGCGAAAAGAACTGAACGAAAATCATCTTTATTCGTTGATATGTCCTTGTAAATATCATTAGTGTGAGAAGGAACAAAAGTTGTTGGCATTATACTACCTCATAGTGTTCATTTTACCTTGAAACTGCAGCCAAATGTATGTTTAAGTACCTTTTGAGTGATTTCAAAGTGGGAATGCAACACATTTTCATTCACTAAAATCGGTCGGCTGAAATGGCCTGTTTGGTTTTGGGCCGAAAGAGAAAATATGTGATGAAAGAAAGGCACAGCGTTCAGTTTACTAGTTTTACTTTCTTCCAATACAAAGTAACTGCATGATGTGGCTTTCACACCGGACATGGAAAGCACTGCGCTATGAAACCCATTCATTTAACTGCACATGCAAGCTGGTTTGTTAATGCGTTGACCAAAAATGCAAGAGCAGTGAATATTGTGCACCCTGGTCAAAATAGCTCAACATTCCCAACAGTCTCGTTCTAAAAATGTACCCCTGTATATATTTCTGGAGAGCGCCAAATACGTTCCAGGATGTACGTTTTTTTTTTTTTTTTTTTCTTGAAAATCGGTCGGAGGCTGCTGTGTATGCTCTTTTAGATCTCAAATTTCTCTCGCGAATGCTGTTCTCACATGAATCCACCAGAGGCCGCTGTCGACTGACTGACCAATCGATTGACCCACCTTCCTCCTTCCCTAAACCCAACTGATAGTGTTTTAAAAAGCACCGATTGACCAGCGACCACCCACCTCCCTAAACCCGTCCGACAATTTTAAAAAGCAATCCAGAAAAAGAACAGCCCTCGCCTGATTTTGACCACGAATTCAGATTTTACCACATTCTCACCCTGTTATTTACTTGCTTATTTTACTTTTTGGCTTTTTTTTTTTTTGTTTTATCCACTTTCTGGAACCGTTCCTCGCTGGACTCGAACCCCATCGTCACGGTCAACTTCTTTCTGCATCTCAAGTCCGCAAATAAATATGGCGAGCCACTAGACAAACTGTGTTTAAAAGCAATAGTGCCCTGCGGGAAGGCCGTACATACGGAAATAAGCGGTCAGCTAGTAAATGTGATAAGGAACGGCTTCATACCGCCCCATAGTGTTCGTTTTAAAGAACTTCTGGCTGCATAATTCGGGATCTCCAGAAATGTATACAGGGCTACGTCTTTAGAAAGAGCCAACGTTGAATATTCCACTTCCATTCAGTTCATGAACCCGTAAACTGATCTATGAATAACCCACACATGCTCACCAGAGAAGCAAAGTACACTTAAATAATGAGCTAATAGGGCATGCCGTGCATGCTTCTTGCAATATAGCAACTATACTAGTCGCCGTGCTCTCACAGCAATGCTGGTAAAATGACGCCTCTCGACTCTGTCAAAAGAAGTCCCTAATATATTGGCTTATGTTTTTTTCTAAAATTAATCTAGTTATTTAATAGCGTTAACGCGAGACTCTTATCAGGTGCTAAAATAATATCGCAGTTAATAAATTCTCAAAGTTGGATTGGGAGCTAGGTCTATTCTACGCAAGCTATGATGACCTTCACCTTGATATTTTAGCGCGGATGTATACCCGGAAAAAAAAGTGCCCTTCTGAATAAAATCAGCAGGATGCCCTTCTGGATCTTACACTTACTTCAAAGAGACAACCGACTACGTTTACATGGACATCTGTAATCTAGTTATCTGCCTTAATAGACAATAATATAGTTATGGTGTTTACATGAAGTACTTTCATGTAAGAGAGCAACAAAAAATCGTGCAAAATTCATGTTTTAACTGAATGAACAGTTAGTAAACACAAGCACATCTTATTGAACGTCATTTATTTTCATCACCAATTATCACAGTAGAACAGTTTCTCAAGCAGTTTGTGATGCATTTTGGAAACAGGAGATAAGCCCCTGATCTAATGCGCCACCTGGCTTGACAAACCCGTTCTCAAAGACTTACTTTTAGTCATTATTTGGGTAGCACACATATTCTGAATGCCTTTAGGAGTTCAAATGAGCCATTTTAATCTAGATGAATCTAGATTAATTCCAAAAGTACAGTGAGATTAATCTAGATTAAAAAAAAAAAAAAACTATGCCCACCTATAAAATACTTATGCATCCTGATTAAAAGCCTTGATACAAACCAGGCAACTAACAGGTGAATCACAACATGACCAACTTTGATTTGCAACAAAGAAGTACATGAAGACAAAATTTAAAAGCTTTACTGAGGGAATGTCGCTACTGACCAATCAGAATCGAGTATTCCAGATTGCCTTGTAAGAAGTGTGACTCTGAAGAATATCGGAGGCACTTTGATCGCGATTCATAATATGTTGAATGTTTACAATCAGAAATCCTGATGTGTATTGGGAAGACAAAGGACAAACACGTATATGAGCCAGAGATTATCATGTCAAATAAAATTTAAAAAAATCCTGTCAGAGAGCAAATTGACAGCCAATATCCAACCTGACAACTATTTGCCTATTTTTCAACCCGGGCTCATTGTGGAAACGTAGCCCCGCGGACGTTTCTGCGGACCGCGATTTACGACCCGGGAGGTATGTATTCGAGCGGTTTTTGTTTTCGCGGATCCGTGAGAGGCCGCTGTGCACGCTTTTTCGCGTCTCGGGTGCCTCTCGGGAGCGCGCCGTTCGCACCCGCGCGAAAAGCCGCCGGATCGGCCGACTCGGCCTCCTCCTCTAAACCTGAGCGACGGTTCGCAAAAGCCATCCAGAAAAAAAAAAAAAAAAAAAGCAAAAACCCTCGTCTTCGATTTCGACCGCGTTTTCGGATCCCGCCGCGTTCTCGCCCTTATTTTTCGGATTCTGTTTTCGTCTTACCTGATTTCCGGAACCGCTGTTCCCCGCACTTGATCCCGGTCGTCGTCCACCACAGCTGGCTCCTCCTCCTCCGGGGCCTCCGCTCCGCCGGCGCAACGCTGTGAGCTAAGCGGACAAACTGGTTGCATCGGGAAAACCCTCCACTCGGAGGCGAGCCGTCGGCCGGCTACGCGAAGAGAAGGGGCGGAGCCGCGCCACACCGCCGCGCAGCGTTCGGCGAAAAAAACTAAACGCGGCCTTGCGTACCTCCGGCCACGTAAATCGCGGTCTCTAATAACGTCCGTGGGGCTACCTTTCCATAATGAGCTTGGGTTGATATTTTTGGATATTCTAATATAAGGGACACCTTTCCGTTAACCCAAATGCAAGCTCTTATGGTTGGCATGAGAACAGCTTAAACGATAATCGTACTTATAATGAAATCTCCAAAGGCTCCGTGTTGTTGCGCCCTGAAACTTTACAAAATCACATGGGGACCTATCTTAAGACATCTTTAACTTAAATATTCATGACTTTGGCTTTGTAAAAATGTTAATATTGTCGTCTTTTGTTTATATGTTTAAGCTACATATGTCATGTGTATATATGTATTTAGTAACAGACGATCCCTCGGAGGCATTGGATTTGGACAGTTTAGCTAAAGGTTCATCTTGTCAGTTTATGTCAATGGCACTGATGCGTATTCGACATGACAATACATCTCAAACAATGTCATCTTCGCATGACACAATTATAACAACCTCATGGCAATTATGTTTATGACAGGTTTATGACAAGGTATGGTGTCCTGATAAAGTCAGTTTGTCATGATAAAGACAATCCTTATTTAATTTAACTTATTATAATAAGTAAAATAGGTGACACGGTGGCTTAGTGGTTAGCACCATCGCCTCACAGAAAGAAGGTTGTTGGTTCGAGTCCCAGCTGGCTCCGGTTTCCAAACACATGCGCTATAGGTGAATTGATGAACTAAACTGTTCGTAGTGTGTGTGAATGAGTGTGTATGGGTGTTTCCCAGTACTGGGTTGCTGCTGGAAAGGCATCCGCTGTGTAAAACATATGCTGGATAAGTTGGCGGTTCATTCCGCTGTGGCGACCCCGGATTAATAAAGCAAACCTGCCAACACTCCAGTTTTTCTCGGGAGTCTCCCGTATTTCAGACCCATCACCCTCCCGTTTTGTTATTTCTCCCGAAAAAATCACGTAATTTAATACTCCCCCTAGTCCTTAGCTTTTTGGTACAGTCTATGACACCCCCAGGTCGCCAACTTTAATATAGCATCCGATTGTAGCAGCTGCCAGAAACCCCCACTAAAGTAGTTACAAACCCTGTTCTCAACAGTGTTATTCAGACACCTCACCCCCGAACACCCCACCCCCCAGTCTCTCGGATTTTCAGAGACGAATGTTGGCGGGTATGGAATAAAGGAACTAAGCCGACGGAAAATTAATGAATGGATAATAAGTAAACTTTAGCAAAACCTGAGGTTGTACGCTCGTTTAATGTTCAGTAATTTAAGTTGACGGGACTTGTAAGGTTAACTTGGTTTAACTTAATAAGGATAGTTCTCTGAAAAACAAATGATTTATGAATGCCTTTCTTTTGTTGAACACAAAGCAAGCTATTCCGAAGAATGTTGTTAAATAAGTTTGACGTTGTAATGTTGTTTTTATATTGTAAAAAACTTGAAAACACACCTTGTCATAAACCTGTCATAAACATGATGTCCATCGTGAGGCCATAAGATGACAATATCGTCATGATTATAAAGTTATAATCACCCCCTTTGAGTAAAGTTACCAAAAACTTCTAAATTGTTCGTTTAAATAGTTAATTTCCCCATCAAAACCCCAATTACAATCGACACCTTTGATGGTGCTACCTACACTACAAAAAATGTCAAACATCTCGAACAATGAATCATAATTGACAACACTTTTGCAGCACAAGTACCTGTTGAGTCCCCGTGGAGGCCGTGGCCTTGTGAGACTCAGGAAGGGATTATCAGAGAGATCCGTGAGCAGCCATCCGTCAGCCTCTCCAAGGGCATCTGGCCGCTCGATTGAGGGAAGCGAGTACCTGACGACAAGAAGAAGAGGTCACTATCATACGCAGATCCGCCACTCGTGACAATCTTCTGGAGTGGAGATGTGTGGCGAAGTGGATCATTTGTGCCCGCTGGTTATATCACTCACACACTTCCACACATCTGCCACATCGCAAAGACGGACCAGTTCTAAAAGCTTACCTCAGATGAACCTGTCAGTTACACGCAGATCAAAAACTAAAAATAACCGGTTATCTGTAAAATACATTAATAAATAAATAAAGAAAAAGCTTTAAAAATCTAAAGGAATAGTTCACTCAGAAATGATAACTATCAGAAATGAGTGGGCAACGATGATGAATGAATTATTGAGACTTTTTATAAATAATTAGAGAAAACATAAAACAATTGCTTATGAAAATAAAAAATAAAATAAAAGATGCCTTAATAGATTTAAAGAGATAGTTCACTAAAAAATGACAATTTAATATTTTTTAAATTAATAATAGTAATAATACTAATATATATATATATATATATATATTTAAATAAACCCTTTATACACTATAAACTTTAACCACTATCAAGTATATTTTAGACTTTTTAGAATTTGAGAATTAATTGCTTTTAAAACAATTATAAATTAATTAATTAATTAATTAAAGCTGCTTTAAAAAGGAATATTTCACCCAAAAAAATGACTGTTTTTTTATTTGTAGAAATATATGTAATATAAATGATGTTATTATTCAAAAAAGTAAATAATAATATATAAAGTGTCCATTTAATATAATCTCAATCGACTGATTTTACGTGAAATATTGTGTCTAATTTGTCTGAAATTTGTTCTTTTACACGACGGACATTTTAAGCGTCTCATGAGATGCATCGCTTGAAAATAATAACTACATTTACCAAGCAAATTCAATGGAATAAAAACTTTATACACTTAAATCATGTCAATTTGAGACTTTTTACAAATAACTACAGAAAAGATAGACCAAAAAATGTAAGTATAAAAGGTTTAAAGGGACAGTTCCCCGCCGAAATTAATTTCTGTTATCATTTACTCAAGTGGTTTTAAACCTGTTTGAGTGTTTTATGAATACAAATAACGATAATCTGAAGAATGCTGTGGAGAAAAAAAACAGCCATTGACTTCCATAGTATTTTTTATTCCGACAATGGATGTCAATGATTCCTTTTTTCCCCACAACATTCTTCAGAACATCTTGCCTTGTGTTTAACAAAAGCATTTGAGTGAACTATACTTTTTGAGTTGAATCAAGTTAACCAAACAAGTCATTTCAACTCAAATGACTGAACATTAAACTGACTTACGACACCAGGTTTTTACAAAAAATGACATTCGAACTTATTTTAATTGAGATATGAAGAGTTCAGATGCAATTTCCGTCTGAAATTTCCATTGAAAATGAACATTTTTCTCAGCCCTGTTTGTTTATGTTGAGATATTTCAGTTTAAAGACCAGGAAAAGGACTTATCCTTTGCCATAAAAGTGAAATTACCGAACTTACACACAGGAGCCTGATTAAAATGCTCATTTTCGAAGAAAATTTCAGACGGCACATAGAGGTTTTTGCAACCAAACTCTTAATATGATGTTTTAACTTAATGACGAAAGTGTTTCCGATTGTTGTCTTTCCATTAGACCAGTGGTTCTCAAACATTTTTCCCCAAGTACCACCTTGTCTCTCCAAGTACGACCAAAATGACCAGTATTGAAATAAAGTAGCATAGTTGGCCAAATTAAGCAGCTACAGCACGGCACAGTTCGAAAACGAGGCACATTCATATTTATACAATTTGACCGCGTGACTCGCAGAGCGGCATTCTGAAAAGTTAAGAAGTTTTCAACTGCGTACGCCTGGAATACGCAAGCGCGTCGTGCCGCAGTTCCTACTCATTTTGCTAGCCTGTGGGTTCAATTTTGATACTCAAGACGTAACAAGAGAATACGGTCATTTTTCAAAATAAAAGATTTTTCAAAATAAAGGATCATTCAGACTTAGATAATAAATAAAACGGAAATAATGCATTTTTTTGTGCGGCCCGGTACTAATTGATCTATAGACCGGTGCCGGTCTGTGGCCCGAGGGTCGGGGACCACTGCTCTTGCGCGTATCTACATACCTCTTTCTCTAGTTCTGCGTCATGTGGATTGATTTTTAGCAGCTGGTGACGCCGTGCACTAAAGTAAACATTCAGCGCGTTGATCGTAGGCTTTAGAGAACAGCCGATGCTGATCACATCAGTGTTATCGAACATATCAAATCCGAAAAAATGGATTTTAATCATTTGATGTGTTCGATAACACTTTCGTTTACACAGTTTGAGAACCACTATCATTAGACAAAACAAATATTTGTGAGCAAATCTGACTGCAATCTGTTAGACAAACGTATCGTACCATTTATTTGATCACTGATTTGACATTTTCGAGTAATTGTACAGTAAACAACAGTCCAGTAAGATGAAGGATAAAACGAAATATTAATAACAATATTAAAAGGCATTGGAGTTTCAAATATGTTACTATTTGTTTATTAACACTCCAAAAAAATGATGATTGTTCAAACTACTTATTTAAAATGAGCTGAAACAACACAAGTCTTGAGTCTTTAGGGACAACTTAATTGTTGTATGTTCAATTCACTTAAAATTGTAAATACTAACACGTTAACTCAATTCCTTCATGTTGTCCCAACACTAAGCCAACCCAGGCTCATTGTGGAAACGTAGCCCCGCGGACGTTTCTGGAGGTTGCGAAATTTGTCCCGGGAGGTACGTATTTGTTCAGTTTTTGTTTTCGCAAATTCGCGAGTGGCCGCTGTGCCACGCTTTTTCGCATCTTGGTTGCTCTCAGGAGCGCACGCCGTTTGCGCCCGAGCTGTTCTCGCGAAAAGCCGCCGGAGGCCGCTGTTGAGCGACTGTCTGTCTGACTGAATGAACGATCGACCTGGCCAGCCACCCTCCTCCTTCTCCTTCCCTAAATCCAAGCAACAATTTCTAAAAGCCGTCCGGAAAAGAAAAGCAAAAGCCCTCATCTGATTTTGACCGCGTTTTCGGATTTCGCCGCATTCTCGCCCCGTCACGAACTCGTTCGCTTTTATTTTTTGGATTCTGTTTTTCTTATTTATAGAACCGCTCTTCCCTAGACTCGAACCCAGTCGTCGCCGCTTCTGGCTCCTCCGCCTCCGTTCCTCCTCTCCGCCGACGTAACACTGCGAGCTGGTTCAAGCGGGAAAGTCCTCCACATGGAGGCGAGTGAGCCGTCACAGCCGGAGCCGTACCTCCGGCCACGTAAATCACCTCCAGAAACGTCCGCTACGTTTTCAGAATGAGCTCGGGTTGCACAAATCCTAGGTTAACCTAATGGTTTTATGTTCAACCCACTTAAAATTGTAAATACTAATAAGTTAACTGAATTCATTCTTGTTGTACCAACACAAATCCATTAGGTTAACATAATCATTTTTACAAATGTAAGTGGCTTGAACGTAAAACAATGACACAAACAAGCCCTAAAAAATTGTGTTGATTCAACATGTAGTTTGAACAAGCAGCAATAATCATTTTTCAAGTGTAACCCTTGATATGAAATATGAACGGGTAATGTAGAAACCTGTCATTAATAGCATACACTGCAAAAAATGCAGGGTTAACACTGTTAATTTAAGTGGATTGAACACAAAAAAATTAAGTTGTCCCAATGACATCTCAAGAATTGTGTCGTTTCAGCTCAGTTAAAATCAGTAGTTTGAACAAGTGGAAAAGTAAAGCTTTTGAGTGTACTTTAGGAAAGTCTTCATGATAAATAATTAACATAAATAATGATTATTTGATTTTTTTAAGCATATTTCCATAAATGCAAATGCAGTCTTTTTTAATATTATGCATAAAATTTAATTATTTCAATTGGATTAATAAAGGGACTAAGCCTACAAGAAAATGAATGATGATAATAATAATCATGATGATGATGATAATAACAATAATAATAATAAAATAATAATATTAATAATGATATTAATAATAATAATATTAATAATGAAAATAATAGTAATAATAATGATAATAATAATAATATTAATAATGATGATGATGATAATAATATTAATAATGATAATAATAACTAGATTCTTAAAGTTTGAGAACAAACTTTGAGGCTGGCTTGTGAAAGCCTGACGGTAATAGTTTATTTAGTTTAAACAGTTTTAAAAGGTATGAAAAGATAGATAGAAAGATAGATAGATAGATAGATAGATAGATAGATAGATAGATAGATAGATAGATAGATAGATTAGCATGTTATTAGCATGATTTTAACGTGTAATAGCATGTTGTTAGCATGATTTTAGTATGAATTAGCATGTTATTAGCATGAATTAGCATGTTGTTAGCATGATTCTAGCATGTTGTTAGCACGATTCTAGCATGAATTAGCATGTTACTAGCATGATTCTAGCATGAATTAGCATGTACCTAGCATGATTTTAACATGAATTAGCATGTTACTAGCATGATTTTAGCATGAATTAACACGATTCTAGCATGAATTAGCATGTTGTTAGCATGATTCTAGCATGAATTAGCATGTTCTTAGCATGATTCTAGCATGAATTAGCATGTTACTAGCATGATTCTAGCATGAATTAGCATGTTACTAGCATGATTCTAGCATGAATTAGCATGTTGTTAGCATGATTCTAGCATGAATTAGCATGTTGTTAGCATGATTCTAGCATGAATTAGCATGTTGTTAGCATGATTCTAGCA